TGCAGTCCCACGCACAGGGTAGTGGAGCAAATACTGCAGCTCTCCCATCCCCTGTTTTGGCCTTCCACAGTTATTTTCTGCTCTGGATCCCCAGACCATCCCAGGGGAGGGATGCTTGCTGCAGGTGAGCCTTGTATTGATATGCCTTTGAGTACTTATGGATAAATCCCAGCTTAACCTTAAACCACTGAGTGATTTGGGGTGCATTTTGTAAAATCCTGACTCTTGCTGCCAAGCTCTCTGGGAAATGTTTGCTTTCTGTATAACACCTGGAGCACCATGAGACTGCTAAGTGCTGCCAAAGCAGTGACCGCAAGGTCTATGCCACACAGAGAGGCTGTGAGCAGTGGGGAGCTCAAAGCCTGGGCTTGGGATTGTGGATGTCTGGAAATGAAAATGGTTCCCAAGCCCTGAATCATTCTAATGTTTTATACTTGTTTGCCAGAGCAGATAGGCCATGAAAGGGAAAGAAAACAGGCAGTATCTGCAAAAACTCATACTAATAGGTTTTCTTTGGAAACTGAAGGACCAAGTGAAGAGCTCCTTAGAGGAGGAGGTACCAGCAATGAGATAACATGCTGCACCCCAGCACTGGTGTCCTCAACTCTCGCTCAACCATGTCCAGGATACATCCTTGCACGTGGTCAGGGAGCTGCCATGATGAAATGAGCTCCTGAGGAGGCTGCAGGTGGGCATGGGGGGACTGGGAGGACCTGATCAGGGGCAGCCGCAGTGATGGCATTGTTCTCTTATCAGTCCTGTAGAGCGAACGTCCACTGAAGTTGAATCCTATTCACAGTTAAAAGAAAGTAATATTTCTAAGCTGACTCTTTCTTGGCAAAGATTCCAATATTATCTTTGCCTAAGGATGAAGAGTTCCCAAACAATTCCTCTACTGTACCAGATGTAAATAGGCTCTCATTCAAATTCAGGCCTATCTATTTCTTTGTAAATAAACCAACATCTGATGGAAGGAAAAGCCTACCCTTCCACAGTCATTTTTGTGGAAAAGCAGCAGCTGAACAAAGGGCTCTTCACCATTTTAAATAAGGATCAGGGAAAAGAAGAGCTCACAGTAAATTGGAAGCTTTCTCAAACAAAGAGCTGGAGCAGGAGCTTGTCCTGTGGTGTAAGAGGAGAGAGGGGAGGCAATGAGCAGGCAAGCAGAAATGAGAAACCAGAGTGCAGTGCCTTACACAACAGGAAGAAAGAAAGATTAAAAAACGCCTGGGGCCACCCGCCTTGCTCCCCTGCCTGTTAGCACACCCCAAAAAAGAGTCGCATTAAAGAATGAAGCATGGACCCTGAAAGCTAGCACCAGGGCAGAGCGTCCTCATGAACTCCACTTACTCCCAGTTTCATCTGGCCTTTTTGTTTTGCCTCAGATATCACCTATTGCCCCAGCTGATATCAAACAATTTCCAGAAAAGGAAATTGCTTTAAGCCACCAAGAGTGAATGGCTGAGCCGTGGCGAGTTCCAGGAGCAGTTACAAAGCCTGGTGCAACACAGCCATGTAGGAGCAGACACGAAGCGGGACTTCTCCAAGCCCCACAAAGTGGTGAGCTACGGTCCCTGCTGGACGTCTCCCGCCCACCGGGCAGCTGCAGGCTCCCCCAGCCTGAGGGAAATCTCAACGAGCAACTTGTGGGTGAAAGGCTTCGCATCCTGCCACCAACCCCCTGAGATGGGCCTTTTGCTACCACCAGAGACCCCTTTTTTCCCTGAAGTTCATTTATTCCCCCTTATATAATTAAATATTTATTGGATCACATTTTCATTTCTCTTTTTCCCTTGTGGCATTCCCTCTGCATGCCATGATTTACTAGTCAGAAAAGAGAGAGAAATGCTCATAGCTAAATTTCTCCTATTTTAAAAGTGATTATTTTTTATTTTTTATGCACCGTTTGTTTGTTTTTTTAAGGTTTTGGTGAGAAACCACCTCCTCCCTCCCATCAATCGTTGCTTTCACCAGCTCTTCACGGGTGGCTGCATCTCTTTTAAATTCATTTCCTGTTAAAAAGAATAAACAGGCAACTGTTTAATGCTGTCGATTTAGCTTATTTAATAGAAATTGAAACCTGAACAGGGCTCAGTTGTAAGATAATCACTGCAGAACTCACCGAGCTAGGGAAAGCACCATATTAAGTAATTACTTCAAAAGACAGAATATCATTTAGCAAGACTATGAGCTGTTCCTCTTTCCCAAACACAGGAGACATATTTGAGGAAGAGATGCTCATTTCCAAAAGGCAGCAGGTAGAGTTAGAGCCACTTAAAGCAGACAGCCATTTAATTGGGAAATTTGGCTGGAAACCACTTTCATGTGGTGAACTTAATAGGCTTTAAAATGAGTTTTACTGGGACGCCTGCGTGACCTCATGGCTGACTGCAGCAAAGACAAGTGGATGTTGATTTCTTGAGATGCTTGTTTGCAAAAGAAATGGAAACTAAGTGCACGCCTAATTTTCTCCTCTGAGGTTTCAACTCACCAAGTCAGCATGAGCTGCAGTATATTTGGCTTTATACAAGCGAGAGTTTCAAAGACCTTTAGGAGAACCAGTAGCTCCCACATTAAAGCCCCTGCTTCTCTCTTAGACAAGACAAAACGTGTGTGCCTTACTTTGCTTGTAGGCACACTGGGAGAATCCACCCCTCTGACTAAGCTTTTTGGGCAGCAAATGCATTTTAATCACATATGTAAATCTGTGTTTAGGTGTGTGAGCTTACAGCAGTCTAAATGCTAATCAGAGCGAGCAAAGGGGCGGTAATCCCCCAGGAATGCAGGATTCAGCCCAACGAGTGGTAATTGCTGCATTCCAGGTGGATTAGAAGCATGAAACTTCATTTTACCTGTTTCTGACAATATAGCTCAGGAGCAGGTGCCATGGAAGTAACGCGGAAAATGGTTTAATTACTAACGTAGAGGCCAGCGCTAGCACAGAAAGTGTAAGCTTCGCTTTGAGCAATAAGATGACTCAACATCCAGAATGGTAGCAGTCGCCCCAAGTTTTACCTCTGCTAGCTCTGGAGCTGCTGCCTTCCAACAGAGCCAGCACACTGAGGGTGGGACACCTGAACCCTGGTTCAGTGTGGAGAGTATTTTGAAGAAAACAGACACCAAAGGAGGCAGGCAGTCCATGGTGGCACCAGGCACCTTTCTGTTTCCTAGTTATGTCAATCAAACCAAGGCTTTGTAGAATGACCACCCGGGGCACATGCTACTGAAAAAAAGGAGCATTTGAACTACCAGCTGATAGCAAGCCTAACCAAAATATGGGTTAAAAATTACCCTGGTCATAAGAAACCAGCCTACATAAAACCTCCCATTAGGAACAACAACAAAGAAGATACTGGGGGCTATTTTTCAGCACAGATCAGATACAATTTACTGTAAAATTACACTGTCTTCAACAATTCTTCTGTACCTTCCCTTCTATCTAGGTTTTGGTTGGAGTCACACAGCTTTCCTTGCAATATATAGCAATCTATGGGCGCTTTACCAATTGAACCCTTGGGCTCACAGAGAACAAAGAATATATCACTGATGATCATCTGCAAAAAATATTTCCACCACTTCAATGAAGTGTGACCCTGTCTTCTCCTGTGATCATGGGCTAGGTTCCTACAGAAAAATCTACCCTGTAGTAACCTACAGGTTGCCTGCTAAGGATATCATAAGAGGCCTGAATTAAGACTGTCCGATTGCCTTCTCTCTGGCATTTCCTAACTTTTGAGAGTTTGGTTTTGTGGCCCTAACTTGCTTTTTCTAGGCCACTTATTTATTTCTTACTTTTTGAAAACAAACAAAGCTGCCAAACCAGTAAAGAAACACACAGGCATCCTGTTTAGGGGAACCCCTGCCCTCACTTCTCCACAGCTTCGGGACATCCCCAGTGCACAGCCCGGACCTGCGGACCTGCCATGGGCACCTGGATGAATCACTGCAGTGGGATAAGGCATCCATTCTGTCAATGCCTTCTTTCAGCAATTTGCTGTGAATTGGGAATCCTCTGCTTAATGACTACATGCTTTTCTCCCTTTCCCACCAGCAAGCACAAGCCCGTTGACTTTTGTCTTTTCCAATGTGTTGTGGATCACCAGAAAGTGCTGCTCCTTCCCTGGTGGGAAGGCAGACATGAAAGAGTCAACCCTGCCTTAATGCGTTTGGAATTACATATTCTTTTCATACCTAAGCACAGAAAACATATTTATGCATAAACATTATGAACACATGTTCATAAAAAACATTAACAAAATACAGACAAAAACATTTGGAAAAACCATCTGTGGCAGAACCCCACTATGGGATATTTCAGTCTAAATAGTTAATGGTTGGCAAAGTTATAAACAAATGAAAAGAGTGGTTGACAAATTGCACAGTTAGTGTGGCTAACAGCACCCTCCACCGTAAATGTTACATTAGAAGCATTTCAAAGACCAGACTGACTCAGGAGCTGCAGGCCACTGCCTTGCAATAAGGGCTAGAGGAAGCTAAGCAATTTGACTTAAATAATTGGTGATGCATAATTTACAAAATGAAGGGGAATGAGAAATACATCCCTTTTTTTACAATATACACCCTTCGGAGAGCTCCAAATCACACATAATTACCACCTGCAAATGTATTTTCCCCATCTAATAATTTAAAGCCTCAAAAATTCATAATAAAACACATCGAGGCAAACTGACTACCTGATGCTTGTTAATTTTGAGTTCAAATCCCAAGATTCACCAGACAAAACATCAAGCAGTTCATAAACCAACAGAACTCACATACCAAAATATTTTTACCATGTGGAACATTTTACTAGTACAAGAAATGAACACAGCATTCTCCAGAAATCACAGAACCATGTAATTAAACGTCAAATGATCACAAGGCAAACAAAGTTTATCTTAAATGCCCCCTCACCCCTTTGCTTGCTGATTTGGCCAAATCAAAGAATTGAGATTTTTAAATCTGATTTCACATCTTTCTATTTTTTTCTGTCCAGTTACCTTTATCTAATTCACTTGAGATGTTCCATGATGATGTAGGCATGAAATCAGCAACAACTGATGAATTTGCTCCTGGAAGGGAAAAATAGAAAAAAATAAAAAGATGCTGTTAAGATATCAATTCTGTATCATCACGAGAAAAAGAGGCATTTATAAAGTCACTGTCACAGTAATAATTTTATTTGAAGAACAGCAGCTATTAAAATGCACTCGATGCTCTGTGTTGGCAGGCTGAGACACATGGGTAGCAGAACCAGCAAAGTGGAAAAAGGCACAGGGCCAGCGCTGGAGTTTGTTTTGCAATGCTGTCACTGTGAGGCCTTGTGTTAATTAAGCAACCAATCTTTGAGATGTATTTGGCCCACCTTAAAATCTCTCCACAAGTTTTATAGAGGTAGAATGACTCTGCAGTGCTACAGCTAAGTAAAACACAAACGCTATGAGGTTGCTGAACATGTTATCTATTAACATTTACAAGCGATTTTAATCCTGCAAACCCATGCACACAAGAAGAGATACAGTTTATAATAGGGCTACTTGTATGAAAAATTCTCCTATGACTCATGTAAACACAGGGTGGAAAGACTGATCTGATCACCAGTAGCATTTTCTCATTGCTATGATACTTTTTTTCCTTTTCAAGAGGAAGTTGAATGGTGACCTTAGTCTTCATTTATATTTTTACCTTTTTTTTTAACATGCAAACAGTAAGTTGTACAGAGGACGGTGTTGAGGGAACTACCAGCATACTTCCTCCCTGTATCTGAACATCGATGACTTTATCAAACACCCGTGTGAGGACTCTGATGTGTAATTGCTGCTTGTAGCACTTGCCACATCCCAACAGGCTGTAGTGGCTGGGTGCAGTATCCACCATGAGATGTTCGTTGGGCTCCCTGAGGGTCTTTGCAAAACCACGTTCAGCACTGTAAACCCATTGTCACATGGCGGGGGGTGGGGTGGGGTGGGTGAAGAATTACTCTCCCTTTGTAACAGCTGACCTACATGCGCCTTATGAGGCTTCCCAGGCAGCTAGGAAAGACTGCTTTTGGAGCACGATCTCTCAGAGTCAGCCCCCAGGGATTAATAGACATCTACACGAGTTTTAGTGAATGATGGTGGGAAGAAGGGGTGTGCACACACATTACATGGCATGGAAACGCAGCGCACCTCCTAATTCCCTGTGTCCACCCAGCCCCAGGAAACCTGACCTCAAAAAGGAGGAGAGTGATGCTGGACAGGAGTGCTACTGCACTGAAAATGGGAGTGAATTTGAAATAAAAACAAACAGTGCTCAATGTGTCAGCACCCGATCTGACTGAGAGGCTAAAAAGACTCACTACAAATTAACACTCTGTGGCCTGATCCTGCATCCTGGCTGGACCCCCAGTGCCGGGTGATTTCACTCAGTCCCACAGGTGCACAGCAAGGGCAGAATCAGGATGCTGAGCATCAGCAGGATCCCAGATGAGAATGGGAATATTTTGAAGTGACACCATCCCATTAGCTTGTTCCCAGACATCTTTTAACTACAAAGCAATTTCACTCATAAAACAGTGGCAGTGCAAGGATATCCAAAGATGTTCTGTGTTTATTTGACCAGTTTGCAACTATTCTATTTCATTAAAAAATCACGAGAAAATTGTAAACACAAAGTCATACAAACGCGTGAAGCTGTTAAGTGCAGATACAGCCACTACACTTTTTATAAATATCGTCTTTCTTAAACGCCCACCTGGTAGCAGTGCTTATTTAAGACTGTCAAGTATTTCCAATGTAAACACCAAATTTGAAGGCATTATAACTCACCTATGAACATGGTCCCCAGCCTGCACAGATATGCAGGGCAGAAACCCACTGATGGGGACAGATCCTGAGCCCATGTAAAATGGCATTGCTCTGAAGTCAGCAGTGACACCTATTTACACAAGCTGAGATTCTGGCCCACTGTGTCCATCCCTCCTCATTCTTTACTTTTTAACAGTTGAACTCCTTACCTAACCGAAATGTTAGGGACCATGTGGCTGAAAGACCTGCAAGGTTTAAGGAAAACAAAATGGATCCAGTGCTAATATCACCTTCATGGTGACCATGATCATCCAAGCAGCAGGACACTGTGGTTGACAGATTTACTCTAAGGCTAAAGCTGAGATGTGGGGTAGGTGACAAATAACCAATGGGCAAATGCTGACCAGGAACCAGTCAGTGTCAGGCTGGTGCCGGAGGTTGGGATGCTCAGCCTCCTACGCCTCCCCTGGGCCCTTGCCCTTCCATCCCTCCTACCCAAAAAATGGGGCAGCTGCTGCAGACTGGTGATAAAACCCCTCTGAGGTGCCATTACCTCTCACACCTGCTGTTGAGACCAAACAGGTTCATCTCTTAGAGCTACAGGGCACCACTCAAACCCACAGGCAAAGGGTTATGTCATTCACACTGCTCGCACATTCAACTTCTGCACTCAACAATATATTTTCTGTAGGTAATATTACTTTTGTTCACCTGGAAATATTCTAGTACTAAGAGCCTAAAAATGAACCGTATTCTGCAAACAGCTAACACACATTAACCAAAATGAAAGAAAAAGTACTAATAATACTATGACCAAATAAAATCTTGTGCTATTGAAAACTCCAGAGTTCATATTAATGTTTTCTTAAAAAGGCTTGGAAAACATGACCGTAAATCTCACAGAGCAGACACCCATCACCTGATCTACAGAAGAAACCACATTAGAAGACCAAACTTTACCATTTGTGAGATAGTTCTCCAGGCTGATAACTGGCAATTTTCTGATATTCCTGAATTAAAGCTCCAATTCAAGAGCAATGTATTACTGTGCCCTCAGTAAACATTTTATTTGACTGAAAGGAACATGTAGAGCAGTTACACAGCTTGGGAACATACCATTGATTCAAAGTTAATGCAGAAAACAAAAGTATCCCAGAAAAGAAGTCCACAAGACATGCATGAATTTAATTTCCAACTGTGATGACTTAGGATTGCTGTGCATGAAAGTGAGAGCAGTGATACCTCTCCTTCGAAAAACTATGTTATAACCTTCAGGCCAAATCCGAAGCACGCTCTGTCGGAAGGTGAGCTCCCAGACAGCCTGTGGAGAGAGATGAGTCATGGATGGGAGAAGGATCAAAGCCTTGTCTGAGCAAACTTGTTCCTCCCCTGGAACTAAATGCACCTCCTGCTCCTGCCTGATCTGCCTCGCTCAGTAACTCTGCCTCCACGAGGAAAATGTGTTTAAAAAAACAGACTGGGAATGAGTAGGACCTTTTTCCCTTTTGGGACCCACTGTGTGCCAGTGGGCCAAAGAGCTGGAGCACCAAGAAGGTCACACCAAATGCAAGACACCTACAGCTATTCCACCCATGACCTGGAGGAGACCAGGGAGCAGAACTCAGCATCCATCGCTCCACTCATCAATGGCCCATCCACTTACTTCGCTCACACACCAGACCTTTAAACTCCCACTAACCAATTGCTCCCTTTATTCTGTAAATCCCATATATGGGATTTACACACAGCAACTTGCATTTGGGGCGCTGAAACAGGCTTGCCTATTTGCTGTCACCATTAAAAAAAAAGAAAAAAGAATCTGCTTAATATTGCAACTGGATTTCAAATGAGGAGTATAAAAATTAATCCTTAGTTGTTAAAAACGCCCTCTTATGCCCCACTTTAACTATCTGAACAATAAGATTTGTTTTGAAAAAAAGGCAACCTGAGAAATGTGATCAGCAGAGAGAACCATTATCCTGTTAAGGTTTTCTTTATAGATGAAATCATTCCAGATGAATGACGAATCTTATCCTTAATACTGGAAAGATAAGTATCTGTCTAAATCTCTATCATTATTAAGAGACGTTGGTCTTAAATTAATGAGAAGTCACAACAGTCAATTATAACCCCTGTGAAAAGCCAAGTAAAGTGCATTCAAATACACTCCCCACAGAGAAGTTGGCTAACACCTGATTTTATTACCATATTGCGTAAGTGTAGAGTGAATTTCACACAAGTCAGTCCTTTTAAAGCCTTTGTGATTAAATAAACTTCAATAAGGTTTACAAAAAACTGCCTCTGAAGAAAAACTACAGAGCTCGTTCTTATCACAGGCACACACTACCGTCTCATCTTCTCACCAGAACCAACCATTACTCAGTGCTCCAGTGTTTGTACTGTCACGGTTACAGACCCATCAAAAGGATGGGGCAGCCTCATCCCCTGGCCACAGAACCGAAAAGGAGAAGATCCAGGCCCTGTGCCCAGGCTAATTAATATCTCTATGTGATGCATTTGTAACGCAAAGTAAAGAGAATATAAGTCAGAACAGGAAGAAGGCAGATAACTAAGATGACACCAAACCCAGAAAAGATTTTCATGGGGAATATATCTGCTATACAGAAACAAAGCAGAGAGCAAAATAAGTCTAAGTGTGTGGATATTCTGCTTCCAAGACCCTACAAGCAATGCATGAGGTCTGTACAGCTGCTAAGCACAGGAACATACACAGTGTTGCCTAGGACAGGCTTTCTTCTCTGGTGCAGAGATGAAAATCCCAGGTCTTGCAGGAACACATCTTCTTAAGGTGGAAGATATGTCTAGTTAAAACACGCAAACAAAATTTCAAAGTGTCTTCTTCATGGGCATCCTCTGTCTCACTTTATATCGCACCAGTGGGGCATTCCATACCCTAATTCTATACCCTCAAGACAATCTGGAGTAAGTAATTTTTTCTGATACAAATATGAACGTGACTGCAACGTACGCAATCCAGACCTCACTGTAGAATACCCGAAAGAGCAAAAAGAGCAAAGAGGTTATTTAAAGTAACCAAGGAGTTAGAAGTCTGAGTAATAAGATAAACTATTTAGTTATACAGACTTAGAGCAAAACCTAATTATACTAAGTGCTCAGTATTTTTGCTTTTCTGCACATTCCAGACCGACGCTTCATCTTTCTCTCTGTCTAGTTCCTACCTGACTGATCTCTTCCAGGATCTTCCCACAGATATGCCTCACGGCTGTTTTTCTTCTCAGTCATATCTCCCTCATCTTCCTTTTTTGCCTTTTGCGTTTTCTGTTTCACTGATCCTTTGTAAGTTCCCCACACGTTTTCATCTGATCTCCAAAGATATGACATTTTGCAATCAGCCAGTTACCAGCCTATCCACAGCCCACCCTGGAGGTGCTGAAGGAAATCTAGACATACTTTCTGCAGACTGTAATGGATACGACCTATTATTTACCAATTTTCTTGTCTGTTTAAAAATTGGCACTGTCCTGAAATTTCCATAATATATACCTTAAATTTTGCTTATATCTTTAATGTGTGAAAGGATTTTATTTTCATGACATCACTATCTCTGCATGTCAGTAGACATGTCTGCATTATACAATTCATGTGTTTCAAAAGGAGGCAGCAATCATAAATACTTCAATCAGCTGAACAAGGCAAAACTGCACAAAGACAGGAAATTGTTGAGAACATTTCTGCTCATCAAGTGAGGCAGGTGTCTCTCAGGGAGAATATACTACCTTTAGTAGTATGCAATACTACAGGTTGATGGCAAACCTTCCATTGATTAGTTATGAATATAGCAATTTCAGTACACAATGATGTGTAAAAAATATGGTATATATAGCCTACAGCAATCACGGTCCACGTTAAAAATATATTCCTGCAAAAAGACTCAACTTTGCATGTTCAGGTGAAGCTGTTGGCCTTTGTACTGTCACCTTAAATATGCTGAAAGAGAACAGCCTACAAATTACATGCAATAAAAATGGCCAGAGAACAGACCTTAACTAAAGATCTGTTTGGTAAGCAAGATCAAATGCTGCATGATGGCATTTCTCCTTCAAATGCTTAACATTAACTAGTTAGCTTTACTCCACCTGGATACTCTATGGCTGAAAAAGCAAAGGCAAAGCTTGTTCTGCCAAAACCTTGCATAGGCAGATCCGAGAGATAGAGTTTACCAGATGATTCCCACAGAGTTCACAACTACTTCCATCGCTGTGTCGGAAACCGCACTTTCTGCTGGCAAAGGAGCTCTTCAGGCTGTTCCACACAGATAGGGGCAGAGAAGATATTCCATGATGCTAATAACTTTCAAATGGTTAATTTTCCTCATGTTATTAGAATGTAAAACTTTCAAGCACATCTATCTGTTACTTATCTGTAGTATATCATTATTGATAGCCTGGGGTAGGATAATAATTGGCATTAGATAGGGAAATTTTCAACACCAATGAACAATTTGAGCTCTGTCGATTTCAAACATACAATACATTAATTTTCAGCATCAAAAGTAAGATGTGCAGCAGGATGACTTAATTCAGTGCAGGACTGGAAACTGTTAGGAACCTCATTTATACCTCAGCCTGTTCATCTATCAGAGCACCTCATCACTGCGACTGGCACTTTCATCAGCACGTATGCAATGAACAACCTCTCTACCTGGGAGTCTTTCTAAATGTCTCAAGTTCCTGAGGGCTAGAGATAAATTGAAGGATTAGCCCATTCATGATGCATCATCAGAAAGAATCCCGGTGCCCTATTTGTGATTACAGGGCAGGAAGCCAAGTGCACTGCATGCACCTGACACCTCTGCCTTACGTCTTCTTGCAGACCTGCTCTCTTCGATGAGGATACATCAGGAAAGCTTTTGGCTCAAAGGTGGGCAGTCACTTGGGGTTTCCTGTACTTACAGGATACCAGTAATACCCACTCCAAAAGGCCCATTGGGGAGATTAAAGCTTATTCTCAAACACAGTGTTCTTGTTCTGGAATATCAAGACGCAACATCGTCAGAAAACTATTGAATTGCTATGTACTCAATACCTGCAAACTCTTAAAATACCTTTAAGTGTTTTGGCAGTAGTCTAATGACCTACATAAGTCAGGTCAATACAATATTTTTAGTAACTTGGTCTTTGACTAAGCTCATATCAGTTAAACACTGTTTTCTTCCATGGGATCAAAGCCATCTCTTGGAAGAAGAGCTTGTTAAGAGGCCTTTTTTATATGCTAATACTTTAATCCTAAATTTCTAATTACTGAACTACAATTCCTTTTGATTGCGGCTATTAATTACAGATTATCATTAATGTTATACGGATTTAGAAGTCACTGTGGAATCTGGGTGCACTTTACATTGCTCTAAATTGGGTCGTTAACAGTTCCACTTAAGAAGAGCAAAACACTGCACCCTAGAGCAACCCACAGTTTTAATGACAGGGAATGAAGAAAAGAAATGGCCAGTTGGCTGAGTGCCAGCATTTCATAGCTCACAGTTGAGTCTTTGTGCTTATGAACTGTAGAAATGTGGCTACAATGGCACTTCAATGCACATCAACCAGACGTGAACCTCAGGCACAGGAGCCTAGTGCAAAAAACACTCTGCCTGGCATTCCTAGGAACGGCAACACTCAGGTGGACCAGGCATGATCCTGCACTGTACAAACTCAGGGGACCTCTACCTCTACTCCCAAGGAAGCAGGGGCAAATCTAGAGAAAAAATAAACGTTGAGCTTCTAAGTTAACTTGAAGCAAAAGCACTTTGTAGCGACTGGTGCCTTGGCCTGTCCTGACTCTATTGGCAATGCAGAGACAGGGATACAGAAGGAACATGTCCAACCCACTAAAGCTGGCAGCCTCTGAACATCCTTCACTGCTTTTTCTAGGAAGAACTATTTGTACTCTGCACAATCTGAAACGCAAGGGATGTGGAAGCAAGGTATTGGAGGAACACATCATTTTTTGCCATAAAGGCAGCTTTTATTGGACACGGATATCAGAGACTCTGGTTGTTCTTCAGTAGTAATAACCTTGGAAGGGAGCACAGCACAGCTGTTTGTCATGCAAACCTGCACAGGTTGGGTATTTGCATAGTAAATGCAAATTTCCTATCTCTCCAAACCCACCTAAGATAATACTGGATTTTCTTCCATGCCCTGAGCTATTGTCTTCTGATCACCTCAGACTGGCGGAAAGACAGAAGAGGAAGTGGAACTGGGAACCACACAAAGGACACTGGATGACTGCAACAGAAGAAAGCAAAAAACTAACAGCGGCAGCAAGAAATTACCGGGTGGCTAGTCTGGGGTAAGAGGATATGATGAGAAACAGAGGAGTCACAAAAACCCATCACAGTATCAAGAGGGCAGGGACGTAGAGAAAGATGTCTTGAGGCACTGTTAGGTGAAGATGTTTCAACACCAGGAATGGTGACGAAGGGTCCAGGAAGGAATGGGAGGAGGCAACGTTCTCTGTTAGGTGCTTTCTGGGGGTAACACTGTGGTGGCAACATTTGGGTTCCCTGAGATGGGGGCTTCCCTAACAACAGCCCCAAAAAGTCCTGAATCTAAAGAGCACCGAGATCCCTCCAAGCAGACAGAAAAGGCTCTCTTGCAAAGCCTAAATATCCTTGTGACTCTGAGTGATCCGTATTACCCAGCCCACACCTACTATGGATGCTTGCTTTCCTGAAGGCATCAGTGCCACGCACAAGCATTTTTGGGGGCCTGCCCTTCCACTGACACAACATCCACACAGGTTCCCATTTATCTATCTCACAAAACAGCAGACTGAGCAGTGCCCACAAGTGCACTTCTATAGTGTTTGCAGATGAAGGATGAAGTGCCTGGACAGGGCTCTGCATTGCACCTGCTCACTTGTCCCTGGCTTCCATCAGTGCCACTGCACTAAATCCACCCACAAAAGCTTTAAAGGCGGCAAACCCAGCCAAGTACAGGGAGGGCAAACAAGAAATCATTTACATCCACCATAAATTGCAGCACACCGTAACTCCTTGCACCTCAGCACTTGAGAGCCAGAAATGATTGAAATGGATAAAGCTACTAGCAATCTACAATTAAACCCTTATAACTTGTGAAGAAAATTACAGTAGAAGGCTGCCATGTGCAAATTCATTATTATTTTTTGAGCTTGATAATTATTTTTGTTGCAGTGAGGAAAAATGTACCCATGTCAGCTCATGAATTAATGAACGGTCCTGAAACAATTACTTCTTAAGTACACAGAAGTCTCCCTAGTGTAAACATGCTCCATTTTATACCATATCCTCTTGGTACAAGGCATACATTGCAACATGACTTATTGGCTGTGTATGATGAAATAGTAAATGTTGCACGTTTGACAGCTTCAGCCTCATGCCTAGGATTTTACATGTGTTGATGTTGATTAATGTACAAACTGCCAAATTTATAAAGAGGCTGAAACACAAGGATACACTGTGAAACGTATGCTAATAGAGCACAATTTATATAAAAAGGGGGGAATGTAAATATTTAACTGATGCCAGAGCTGGATGCTTTGGCCAAGTCGGGACTGAGCTACATTGATTGTTCAAGAGGAACTTACACCCTGGTCTAAACCCACAAAAGCCTGATCTCAGACAGGCTTAAAGCCTGTACATTTTAGAAGGTAGATTGAAAACTTAATTAAAAGGCTGCTTTTTAAAATTTTCCTTGAAGTCAACCAGATGACACCTGTGAGTAAGAACTGATCAGCATGTGTGTGGAGAACTGGGCTTAGCTCAGGTCTCAGCTGGGAGCACTGAGGGAAGCGCCAGGAGGCGGGATCCTGACCCAGACCCCTCAGTCTTTGGCACATGCAGGCACAGCATCCTCAAGAGACCAAAACCAAACCAAGACCCTCCAGCTAATTTGCGTTTATTAGCAGCCTCAAGAGAGGGCAAGGTCTCTCGGAGGTGAAGACTAAACTCCCTTTTCATGGCTCCAGGTTGGGTTTCAGACACAATGGTGTCACCACACAGGCACGTCTGTCCTTGTCCTGCCCTCGTGGGACTCCAGATCAGGGCTGTCCACATGCTAGCTAACAAAAGCAATTATATAGGCAATTAGTCTGCACTTTACATCAATGCTTCAGAGGTTTATTTTTAATCCTGTCATTGCTGGAATGAATTAATGTACAGATTTAGCCACAGTTACAACTTATTTACTATAGGAAAGTTTCCTGAATCCAAGGTTCATCAGGATCTCCTGGATTCAGATACTCTCTAACATTAAGAAAAATTAAATCCAATCTTAACAATAGGACCAAATTTATTTTCATTTCTACTTTTTGGGGGATCTTCAAATTGTTTCATCAGCGGC